CCACACACAGCAAACTAAATAGCAATAATAAGTAAAAAAGTAAATACTGCCAATAAATAAACAATAATACATTAAAAAGTCCTAATAAATATAATAACCCCTGTTAGTGTCCTTTTGCTATCTGCATCCCATTGAGGATATTTGCCTTTACTTCCTGTCCAACAGCCACAACAGGAAGTGAGAGGAAATCCTCTGGTGATCTCCAGAACCAGTGTCCCCATCGGAAGATTTCCCCTCTCTTCCTGTTCTGGTGATTTTATTACACCAGGACACATAGAGGGGGTGACTCTCCCTGACGGTGACACAGACAGCAATAAAGACCTGTCAGGAAGGGGGGTCTCTAATCTCTCTCCCAAGTTTTGGGGTTCGGTTGCACTTTAATTGGGGGCTGTATATAGGATATCTCTCCTGCACTTCCTGTCGGCGTCCTGTTTTCTTATGGCCCTATAATCTGTTCTCCCTGGGTGACATGGAGGGGAGATCCGTACACCTTGCAGGGTGACTCTCCAGATTCCAGGGTGCAGCTTTGCATGGCGCTACCAGAATCCCCCCCGGAAAGCTTCTCCCTGGGTTGGGGGTCTGCATTGAAAGGGGAAGTAAATCTTTGGGCCCCTCCGCCATAACAGGAAGCAGGAAATAGGCATTAAAGAGAACCTGTTGCTTGGGTGTAGCAGGCTGTGAAGGCCGAGTACATGGCTCACCCCCGCTCTCAGACATGATCTGCCAGGAAGGTGACCACTGTTTTGTCTGGAGTTCCCCTTTTTGGAAGCACAGGGCCCTCAGGGGGGGTCAGGAGGGGGAAGGGTCATACTCACAGAGTGCTCTGCACACCCCCAGTGTTGGCCTGGCTGAGCACCTGGGTCAGAGCTTTGGGCCTCAACATAATAGTCCAGCACACTGCTGCAGCAGAATGAGAAGATGCCCCTGAGCTGCCTCTCCTTCCTGCAGTCACAGGATGCCATCATGTGACATGACCCCGCCCAGTCCACCGCCCCGGCCCGTGAGCTGCCCCCCAAAATTCACCCAGAGAAGCCTCCCCCGACTCGGGGCCAAAGAAACATGACGGCGCCGCTACAATAATTCAGATTCTTAAACACAAATTTGGCCCGAGGCCTGGGTTGCTATAGTGACGGGTTAGGCCCTGGAACGCACGTTGCGTGCCAAGCCTCAGCTGGAGAGTCGAGGCTCGCCGAGCGGCCGGTTGTCATGGTAACGAGCGGACGATGCGGGTCGAACCTCGGTTTAAAAAATGATTGCCTACGGTTGATTGGTCGGCTCCGGTGCCATGGCGACGGCGCAGCCGAGTGTGTTGCACGCCTCGCTTGGGAGCGGCGCGCCGATTGGCTGAGGGTGGTCGGCTGGTGCGTAGGATGACGCAGCACATGCAGGGGGCGCGGGCTCCTCCGGGCCACATGGGGTCGCTGTATCGGCGCAAGACAAAGCGCGGCGGGCTCATTCTCGTGCGTTCCTCCTCTGGGTGGGCGGGTGTGCAGAAGATGGCGGAGAGCGGCGCTGACGGTGCGCCGGGCAAGGGCCTTATCCGGGTCACGGTGAAGACACCGAAAGACAAAGAGGAGATTGTTATAGGGGAGACTGCGAGCGTCAAAGAGGTGAGAGGGAGGGGACCCATGGTGGAGCTTTGAGCTGAGATATACAGCTGAGGCACATGGGCTGCTGTTGCCCTTAGCAACCTCTCAGGCCTCATCTGGTTCTGATGTTGAACAGGAAATGCACTTGCTATGGGCAACATATCCCTATGTGACTGCTCTCAACCTGTTGCCCGTTCAGGGTTCCTCTACAATGTTGTTGCTCACAGTAACCAATCAGGGTTTTTATACTGTTGCCCATAGTAACTCATCAGGTCTCCAAAAAAAGAGGTGAGGCCTCATTGGTTGATATGGGCTGATGCCTGACGTTAGTTGGATTTAATCACATGACCCCCCTGTGCTCTGCCAGTGATGGAGGGAGTCTTGGCCTTGTGTTTTTGGTCTGTAGGGTGGGCAGGCTGTTTGAGATCCTTCCAGGTGTCTGCCTTAGATCCTGCCTGGAGTTGGGGTGAGAGGAGTCACCGGGACCCAGACCGCTGTGAGGTTGGAGGTGGCTGATGACCACGCAAGGGTTTGTCTAGTAGTGTCCAGTATAGTCATCTGGGACCATGGGGAACCTGAGGTTCTTAGTTGGGGTCTCCAGGAGTGTGAGATGCCTCGGGTCCTTAGTTGGATCACCTGGGGACATGGGGGACCTCGGGTCCTTGGTTGGATCACCCGGCGGGACCTCTGGTCCTTGGTTGGATCACCCGTGGGCATGGGGGACCTCGGGTCCTTGGTTGGATCACCTTGGGACATGGGGGACCTCGGGTCCTTGGTTGGATCACCCGGGGACATGGGGGCCCTCGGGTCCTTGGTTGGATCACCCGGGGACATGGGGGCCCTCGGGTCCTTGGTTGGATCACCCGGGGACATGGGGGCCCTCGGGTCCTTGGTTGGATCACCCGGGGACATGGGGGCCCTCGGGTCCTTGGTTGGATCACCCGGGGACATGGGGGCCCTCGGGTCCTTGGTTGGATCACCCGGGGACATGGGGGCCCTCGGGTCCTTGGTTGGATCACCCGGGGACATGGGGGCCCTCGGGTCCTTGGTTGGATCACCCGGGGACATGGGGGCCCTCGGGTCCTTGGTTGGATCACCCGGGGACATGGGGGCCCTCGGGTCCTTGGTTGGATCACCCGGGGACATGGGGGCCCTCGGGTCCTTGGTTGGATCACCCGGGGACATGGGGGCCCTCGGGTCCTTGGTTGGATCACCCGGGGACATGGGGGCCCTCGGGTCCTTGGTTGGATCACCCGGGGACATGGGGGCCCTCGGGTCCTTGGTTGGATCACCCGGGGACATGGGGGCCCTCGGGTCCTTGGTTGGATCACCCGGGGACATGGGGGCCCTCGGGTCCTTGGTTGGATCACCCGGGGACATGGGGGCCCTCGGGTCCTTGGTTGGATCACCCGGGGACATGGGGGCCCTCGGGTCCTTGGTTGGATCACCCGGGGACATGGGGGCCCTCGGGTCCTTGGTTGGATCACCCGGGGACATGGGGGCCCTCGGGTCCTTGGTTGGATCACCCGGGGACATGGGGGCCCTCGGGTCCTTGGTTGGATCACCCGGGGACATGGGGGCCCTCGGGTCCTTGGTTGGATCACCCGGGGACATGGGGGCCCTCGGGTCCTTGGTTGGATCACCCGGGGACATGGGGGCCCTCGGGTCCTTGGTTGGATCACCCGGGGACATGGGGGCCCTCGGGTCCTTGGTTGGATCACCCGGGGACATGGGGGCCCTCGGGTCCTTGGTTGGATCACCCGGGGACATGGGGGCCCTCGGGTCCTTGGTTGGATCACCCGGGGACATGGGGGCCCTCGGGTCCTTGGTTGGATCACCCGGGGACATGGGGGCCCTCGGGTCCTTGGTTGGATCACCCGGGGACATGGGGGCCCTCGGGTCCTTGGTTGGATCACCCGGGGACATGGGGGCCCTCGGGTCCTTGGTTGGATCACCCGGGGACATGGGGGCCCTCGGGTCCTTGGTTGGATCACCCGGGGACATGGGGGCCCTCGGGTCCTTGGTTGGATCACCCGGGGACATGGGGGCCCTCGGGTCCTTGGTTGGATCACCCGGGGACATGGGGGCCCTCGGGTCCTTGGTTGGATCACCCGGGGACATGGGGGCCCTCGGGTCCTTGGTTGGATCACCCGGGGACATGGGGGCCCTCGGGTCCTTGGTTGGATCACCCGGGGACATGGGGGCCCTCGGGTCCTTGGTTGGATCACCCGGGGACATGGGGGCCCTCGGGTCCTTGGTTGGATCACCCGGGGACATGGGGGCCCTCGGGTCCTTGGTTGGATCACCCGGGGACATGGGGGCCCTCGGGTCCTTGGTTGGATCACCCGGGGACATGGGGGCCCTCGGGTCCTTGGTTGGATCACCCGGGGACATGGGGGCCCTCGGGTCCTTGGTTGGATCACCCGGGGACATGGGGGCCCTCGGGTCCTTGGTTGGATCACCCGGGGACATGGGGGCCCTCGGGTCCTTGGTTGGATCACCCGGGGACATGGGGGCCCTCGGGTCCTTGGTTGGATCACCCGGGGACATGGGGGCCCTCGGGTCCTTGGTTGGATCACCCGGGGACATGGGGGCCCTCGGGTCCTTGGTTGGATCACCCGGGGACATGGGGGCCCTCGGGTCCTTGGTTGGATCACCCGGGGACATGGGGGCCCTCGGGTCCTTGGTTGGATCACCCGGGGACATGGGGGCCCTCGGGTCCTTGGTTGGATCACCCGGGGACATGGGGGCCCTCGGGTCCTTGGTTGGATCACCCGGGGACATGGGGGCCCTCGGGTCCTTGGTTGGATCACCCGGGGACATGGGGGCCCTCGGGTCCTTGGTTGGATCACCCGGGGACATGGGGGCCCTCGGGTCCTTGGTTGGATCACCCGGGGACATGGGGGCCCTCGGGTCCTTGGTTGGATCACCCGGGGACATGGGGGCCCTCGGGTCCTTGGTTGGATCACCCGGGGACATGGGGGCCCTCGGGTCCTTGGTTGGATCACCCGGGGACATGGGGGCCCTCGGGTCCTTGGTTGGATCACCCGGGGACATGGGGGCCCTCGGGTCCTTGGTTGGATCACCCGGGGACATGGGGGCCCTCGGGTCCTTGGTTGGATCACCCGGGGACATGGGGGCCCTCGGGTCCTTGGTTGGATCACCCGGGGACATGGGGGCCCTCGGGTCCTTGGTTGGATCACCCGGGGACATGGGGGCCCTCGGGTCCTTGGTTGGATCACCCGGGGACATGGGGGCCCTCGGGTCCTTGGTTGGATCACCCGGGGACATGGGGGCCCTCGGGTCCTTGGTTGGATCACCCGGGGACATGGGGGCCCTCGGGTCCTTGGTTGGATCACCCGGGGACATGGGGGCCCTCGGGTCCTTGGTTGGATCACCCGGGGACATGGGGGCCCTCGGGTCCTTGGTTGGATCACCCGGGGACATGGGGGCCCTCGGGTCCTTGGTTGGATCACCCGGGGACATGGGGGCCCTCGGGTCCTTGGTTGGATCACCCGGGGACATGGGGGCCCTCGGGTCCTTGGTTGGATCACCCGGGGACATGGGGGCCCTCGGGTCCTTGGTTGGATCACCCGGGGACATGGGGGCCCTCGGGTCCTTGGTTGGATCACCCGGGGACATGGGGGCCCTCGGGTCCTTGGTTGGATCACCCGGGGACATGGGGGCCCTCGGGTCCTTGGTTGGATCACCCGGGGACATGGGGGCCCTCGGGTCCTTGGTTGGATCACCCGGGGACATGGGGGCCCTCGGGTCCTTGGTTGGATCACCCGGGGACATGGGGGCCCTCGGGTCCTTGGTTGGATCACCCGGGGACATGGGGGCCCTCGGGTCCTTGGTTGGATCACCCGGGGACATGGGGGCCCTCGGGTCCTTGGTTGGATCACCCGGGGACATGGGGGCCCTCGGGTCCTTGGTTGGATCACCCGGGGACATGGGGGACCTAGGGTCCTTGGTTGGATCACCTTAGGACATGGGGGTCCTCGGGTCCTTGGTTGGATCACACGGGGACATGGGGAACCTCGGGTCCTTGGTTGGATCACCCGGGGACATGGGGGACCTCGGGTCCTTGGTTGGATCACCCGGGGACATGGGGGACCTCGGGTCCTTGGTTGGATCACCCGGGGACATGGGGGACCTCGGGTCCTTGGTTGGATCACCCGGGGACATGGGGGACCTCGGGTCCATGGTTGGATCACCCGGGGACATGGGGGACCTCGGGTCCATGGTTGGATCATATCTTTTGTCCTTTCTTTGAGTATCTGGGAGTGTGGTCCTGCGACCCCAGGTGGGTCATCTGGGGCCACAGGTTACCTTTAGCTCTCAGATGGGGTTTCTGGTAGTGTGGAGTGCCTTGTGTTCTTGGGCAGGTCATCTTGGACTGTAGGTTACCTTGGGTCATCAGTTGGTTCATCTGGGACCACAGGTAACTTGGTCTGTTGTTTGGGAGTGTCGGGTGCCTTGGGTTCCTGGACAGGTCCTCCTAAAAACACAGGATGCCTTGACTCTGCAGACATGTCATCTGGAAGTGCAGGATGCCTGAGGTCCCAGCACAGCTTGCGCGGAGTGTCTTCTATTCTCGCTTGGGTTATCTGGGGCCATGAAGTACCTTGGGGTTTCTGGGAGCGTGTGGGACCCTGTATTTTCAGTGGGACATCTTGGGCGGTGGTGGACCCCAGGTTCTCAGGTGGGTTGTCTGGAAGTGTGAGGTGCCTTGTGTCCTCAAACCAGTCACATGGGGTACCCTAAGTTCTCAGGTGGGGTGGCTGTGAGTGTGAGATGCCTTGGGTTCCCAGAAGGGTCATCTGGGGCCATGGGGTACCTTGGCTCCTTGGTTGGGTCACCTGGGGGCGTGGGGCACCTTGGCTCCTTGGTTGGGTCACCTGGGGCCGTGGAGTACTTTGGCTCCTTGGTTGGGTCACCTGGGGCTGTGGAGTACTTTGGCTCCTTGGTTGGGGCCGTGGAGTACCTTGGCACCTGGGGCCGTGGAGTATCTTGGCTCCTTGGTTGGGGCCGTGGGGTACCTCGGCTCCTTGGTTAGGTCACGTGGGGTACCTTGGGTCTTTGGTTGGGTCACCTGGGGCTGTGGGGTACCTTGGGTCCTTGGTTAGGTCACCTGGGTCCGTGGGGTACCTTGGGTCCTCAGATGGGTGATCTGGAAGTACAGAGTGTATCGGGGTCCCTTATGTCCCATCCTGATCTTTGGGGAGGTCCCGCTGTCTGAGAAGGAAGGAGTTCAGGTCTCGGAATGATTTGGGATAATTAAGGAAAGGCGGAGCTCTCAACTCGCAGCCAATAAGGTTTCATATTTCTCACTGCTATAGTACAATTGGTTGCTATGATAACAGCAAAGTGTTCCAGTGCACCCGCATTTTATATACGGGGGTCTGATCAATGAACCTCCGGAATCTGAGGCTTCATTTGGCTTCTTCCTCCACTTTTATCCTCAGTCGGCCTCCATTGCTGTGTCATGGGGGAG